ATATGGGGACTGTCATGACAGTAGGGAGACCAGGTTGGCTGGGAGAAGACAGTGCAATGCAAAATTTGTTAAGGAGCACAGAAAAGATACCATAGGATCTTCCTTCCTTCTTTCCTTTTTTCTTTCTTCCTTCCTTCCCTCCCACTCCCTCCCTTTCTGCCCTCCCTCCATACCTCCCCTCTCTTTATTTCTTTCTTAGAATTTAAAGGAAAATCACTCTGAAGCTAACCTTACAGCGGTATGTGAATATAGCCAGTGAAGGCTACAGATACCATATTGCCTTCCTAGACGCATCTAAGCCAGGTTTGGATGCAGCGATGGCCATGAAAGGGGATTCTGTTCCTGCCACATTTCACTGACAATAGTAGCAATAATAACAACCAAATTCACTGAAGATTTTCTATATTTAGAGCATAATGCTAACACTTTACAATAATTCCAGAATAATCCTAAAGTAGGTAAAATTAGTAATCATATTTTATAGATGAAATCACAAAACACAAGAAATTGGTTCAAAATCACACATCTAGGTGGTAATAGATTCAGAAAAATCACCAGGAATTGAATGTTTTAAGAATGAAAGCCGGGGACAGGAAATGAATCTGCCTACTGCGCCAAACATGCTAAGAAAGGGAACTAATTCCCTCTTAGTTTTCCATGTTTCTGAGATTGAGTAGACAATCTCCATCAGAATTCAAGTGTGGTACATATGGGCTTGCTGAGGAAAGACCATTCGTGGCAGAGAAGCCTTCCATTTTGTGTCATCCCTTCCAATACTGGCCTTTCCTGGTGTCTTTCCAAGGACTGAATTGGCACCTTTTTGGTCAGTCAGGTTGTCAACTTATAGACTCTAAAAGGAAAAGTGAAAGACACCTTAGGTCTCTGAGGTCCACTGCTGTTCTGCTTCATGAAGGTTCTGAAGCAACCTGCCAGAGAGAGTCTAAGCCTCCGAGTTCTACCATGGTTTGTTGTCAGGGCACAAACTCCTGACCGTCTGCCTTTCCATGAATGTTCAGGAAATTGACCTGCAGAGTTTAGAGATACCTGAGGCTTGTGCTTCACTCCCCTCCCCTTCTCCTTTCCCTCCTTCTCCTTTTCTCACTAACACCAGCACTGCTGTCATTTATATGTACTCACTAGGTGTACAGCGTTCTTCTAATGTGCATTGTATTTTATTTATATATTTTTGGTCTGGGAACAATCTTAGGAGGTATTTATCATTATTAACTCATTTTCCAGAGGTAAAAGGAAGCTGGTGAGATTTTTTTAACTGTCTCAAGGTCACACGAGGAGTGACAAAACCCTCTTGAGCATTTAGATTTTAAATGTGGATTAGGCTTGTCTTAAAGGACTTATCATGCAGCAGAGACTCAAAGAGCAGGTCACATGTGGATCTGGGATGAACTTGGCTTCACCCTGGCTTCCTATTGTGCTATGTGATCTCTTTCTCACTCTCTTACCATGAGGCTGCACTACAGCTAGGCTGGTGCTGAGCTTCCAGAACTGTGAGCAGAATAAATCTCTTTTCCTTATAAAGAACCCAGCCTCAGGGATTTTTGAATGGTGCCAGCAAACTGACTAATGCAATGTGCCTTTGCCTTTGACCTGCATCCCACTTCCTGGGTTTTACCTTCCTCAGATAGATTCTTAGGGTGAGGGTTGCTGATTATATTACATGTGTCCACTATAGATCTGGTACCACACTTTATGCATGTGTGATGGGAAGAGTGAAGAACTAGAGTAAAAAAATTGTAGAAGTTTTTTTTGAGGTTATTAACACCGATATCCCTTAAAGCTAAAGCCAGTTTGAAAATTTTAACATCACATTTGGAAATCAAAAACAAGAGTTGGTGAATAATAAACACGAGTAAGTACTTTACACTTTAGCAACAAGAGTGAAATCCTGGCGTAAATAAGTAAGTCAGATTCTGTGAATCATAACATCATCACATTTGTACGGCAGATTTTTCTGAAAATTGAGACCTGGGCCTAGGGAAGGTGCAGGAGAAACAAAGGGGAAGAAACTGCAAGTCAGAAGAGAAGAGAAAGAAGCAAGGGAACAAAGAGAAACCCAGGTGAAAGGATGGACACAGTGTGTCTGGAGGCAAAACAACCACTGCTGGGTGGAAATGCAGGTCATTAACATGCAGATATTCCTCACAGCAAGTACCCCCCAAGGAAGGAAATAAGCAGCAAATGGAAATAACAGGGTGTAAATCACTTAGCCAGTACTTATGGAGACTTTATTCCACATTAGTCTCCCATATAAATCACATCAGGATTAGCACTGGATCTCTGAAATGATACATCAATAAGAGGACCACATGATGCGGCCTGCACCCCCTAACTACTGTTTCCACCGGCCTTAATTATCATGTTCATCTGGCAGCCGCACGGCGCCAGTAATAGGAACGGGTCACGGGGACCCTGGGCTCATGTGACCTTGGTTGGTCAAGCTCTTGGCCTCAGTTTCTTCATTTGTTAATGTGAGTAGATTTCCTGTTCTGCGTGGACTGACGGAGTATCCACAACGTGAAAAGTGGGAGGACATATACCCACGTGCTTGGATAAATATAAAACCCAGATAATGAAGAATGACCTTGCTCCTTTCCATTTAACAAAGCAGTGGGAAGGTGAGGGTGGGGGCGGGTATAACGGCATTTTGTACAGAAGGCTCGGTGACTCAAAGTTGTCTTTTTTCTCTTCAGTAATATCTGGTCTGGGATTATTACTGCTTTCTCAATGTTTTCAGGCACATGTTTCTCCTTCAGAAATGCCAGAGGTGAAAAATACTATTTCACTGCTATAATTTGTCACCCTTGCTGCCTGAGCAAGACGTGTGGAGACAGTTTAGTAATTAAGCTTTTCAACACTGCATCATAAAGTTTTATTCTGGCAAAGTCTATATTTATCAGCTAACAAGTATTAAATCACCCCACTGCTCAAGCCGTTTCTCACTTGAATATGTTCCTTTCAAAACAGAGCAGTTTTCCTTGGCTGGCTTGACTAATAAAAGTTCTTACTTGGAAATACATTGATGATGTGTGGTCTTGTGGGGTGGAAATACACACACCTCAGCAACTGATCTAAGCTGTGCTGATCTTCCCGGGGAGGTGGACACCTGTGCTTTGTGGTCTTTTAGAGCATTCTGACCTCAGCCTTCCCTTTTAGCCAGCAGGGCATGGATGCCCTTAGCCACTTCATTTTAAAGAGGAAGATGCAAATGAAAATTTAATTGCAACAGAAGTTTTCAAAACTGATTGAAAGAGCAAAGTGGCAATGATGTATACAGGGAGGAGGGTGGGTTTTGCTCATGTTGTTACAGTCTTGTCAAAACACAGAAGTAGCAGGCTAACAGGCTTAGGATGAATATGAAAAGTTTTAGTAACGGCTTGGAACAATTTCTGTACTAACCCACTCCTCTCTTCATGTGTTTTTTCCTCCTTTGTAGGCTATAAATATACCATTGTTCTTAGAAATTCAGGATGCTTTCTGCCCAATGGCTTCAGAAGTATATATGTTTAAAACAAAATAGTAAAGACATCTTAATGACTTCTTAAATACTGTAAAGGCAAAATGTTAAAATAATGGTAAATATTTATCAAACATAGACCAGAATCATGAAATGTCACTACTTTTCATTATTTTATATCAGAAACTGCACTTTTTCATTTCTATGCTTTCAAAATAGTGACATTAGCCACAAGCATCTAATTTTTTAATTTTTAAATTTATTTAATTTTATTTTATGTGTATGAGTGTTTTGCCTGTGTGTATGTAAGTGCACACATGTGGGAAATGCCCATGGAAGCCAGAAGAGGGCGTTAGATACATTAGAACTGGAGCTGTCAGCTGCCATGTGGGTGCTGGGAATTGCATCTGGGTTCTCTGCGAGAACCAGCCAGTCCTCTTAACCACTGAGCCATCTCTCCAGCCCCTAATTTTCTATTTTTGTGTATTTATTGCTAAAAGGCAATATATCCTCATATGCCAGAGGAGCACCTGTCCCACTTTGTTGATAAACCAGCAAGGTCTGCCAGTCGCTGTTGATGTATACACATGGTAATAATACATAGGTGAATCTAATGTAAACATTACCAAGGTAAGAACTCTTAGGGTGAACTTTTCTTAGTTTGGGTGTCTGCAACAATTTCTTTCCTTTCAAAATGGAAAAACATGGCTAGGGAGGTTGCACATTTGGTAGAGTGCTTGCCTAGCATGCATGAAGCCCTGGGTTCGATCCTCAGCACAGCATAAACTTGCATGGAGGAATATGCCTGTAATCCCTGCATTCGGGAGGGAGAGGCAGAAAGACCAGACATCAAAGGTCATTCTTGGCTGTGTAACAAATTTGAGGTCAGCTTTGAATCTGTTTTAAAAAAAGACAAAATAGAGTTCAGTATTTTGCTTTCCATATTAACAACAGATAGTATGTTCAGAAGCCTGGGAATCGAGTTCTCTTCAGCAGCAACCATGGGGTCACTTACCATGGTACATGGGTGACATGATAAACCATTAATCTGGCAAATATTGAATTGTTTTAACTGCATCTATTTTCTGACTCAGTAGAATTGTTGTTGGACAACAGAAAATTCATTAGCTGTGACACCATCCATTTGCCGGTGTGGAAAGCACACACGTGCAGCCGCCCTAGCCCCAGGAGAGGCTAACATTAACATTCATAGTTTCCCTCAGTTTGTATTTAATTTTTATCTCTCGTTTTAAGGTTGGAATTTGTTTTAAGGTCAGAAAGTACTCTTTGACTTGGAAAATGAAGATGATTCATGTCATTTCTGAAAACCTACAGGGGCTCCTTTGTAGGTCACGTTGCCCTCCAAACTGTATCTGGAGGTGATGGCATGTGTGAACTAATACCTGGACCCTTTAATAATCAGGGAAATAGACGAGAAACAAATATTACTTCTATTTTGGAGAAATCTTGAATTTCAGTAATTTGTAAAAATATTGATTCATAGACAAATTGAAGACTTGGATTTGGTAACAATGATTCTTTATTCACAACTGAAATTTTCAAAAGGATAATAAAGGTTTGGGCATGTGAAATGTTACTTTAACATGATTTGGGGGATGTGTTGTTACTCTTAAAGTAGCATTTTTCCTCCAACAAGGATTAATCATTCTGCATCAGAAAAGAGGGCAAAACTGTAAAGTATAAGAAATTTTAACTTTACTATAGGTTCTAACTATGAAAATTATAAAATTGATTTTATATTTCATATGAAAAATGATAGTAAGTGAAGACAGTTTATCCAGTAATTTCTCTCCACAAAATAGAAAACAAAACAATCAGTAACAAAAGTCCTTGACAAGAATCCCAACGTAAAAGTAGAGCATAAGAAGAAAGATGCTAAATATGATTCTTTAGAACTTGTAGAACACTCAGGGCAGAGGCGATGCAGCCATCAAAGTTGGAGTGAGTAAATCCATCCCCTCCACACACCAGGAAGGGGTTGTGATGAAGAGTCATCTGGCCTGGACAGTCGGCAGCTGAATTTGTAACCTGAAAAAACAAAAAGTGATTGCAGTTGACATTTGGTGTGCCACTGTGCTGTCGTGGCAATGCCCACCGGGCTTTTCAACCTGGAGAAATAAAAATTTCATACGTGAACAACAAAACAGAAACAAAGAACACCCCACCCACAAAGTTGTCCCTTGCTGAAATGATTAATATACATTATTTAATGTTTTTCAATGATCAGATAACAAGAAATACACTGAACTTCTACACTAGTATGTGCTAGGGTCTGAATACTTATCCACCCTCCCCAAGTTAATATGTGGTGCTATTAACCCCAACAGTAATGGCATTAGGCTGGGGGGGGGCTTTTGGAATGCGAAAGTCATGAGGCAAGAATAGTGCCCTTATAAAGGTCCAGGGGAGCTCATTCACAGCTTCAACAAGAGTGTAGCAGCTAAAAGTCACCCACCTATGAGACAGCAGCTCCTCACCAGACACTGAACCTGCCAGAGCCTTGACCTTGGATTTTCTAGGCTCCAGAGCTATGAGAAACAATTTTTTTTTGGCACATAAACTACTTATTATATGGCATTCTGTTACAGCAGGCTGCAAGGACTAAGATACCCCACTCTTCCCCTTCCTCACATATTTCCTGAGTACTGCTCTGACCAGTAGGTCCTGTCTGAGCATTGGAGTAGCTGAATTTGAAAACATCACATCCCTGTCCCAAAGGATCTTTTAGCCTCAAGAGTGAGACTGGCCCCAAAGCAGAGAGTGACTCACTTCTGCCATTGCTGAGCATCTCCTATGTGTCAGAAGGTGTTACATTTGTAGGCTACATTGTACGGATTAATTAAATCAGATTATTATAACCAATCCATGTAGAAGACTCTGGGAATATGATGGGTGCATGAGTTTGGTAGTCAAGGTCATTCCAAGGAGAAGGAGTGGCATGCAAGCAGTAAATGATCAATCTATAGGCAAGAGAAAGCAGTATGCTTAGGACATTACAGGGCAGGTCACAATGTGTATGTGTGTATATATGTGTGTGTTGGTTAGTGTCTGTCCCTTAACACAAATTAAAATCACCTAGGAAGAGACAACCTCAGTTGAAGTGCCTTCATCACACTGGCCTGTGGGCATGTATATGAAGCATTTTCTTAATTGTTAATTGATGTAGAAGGTTTCAGCCCTCTATGGGTGGTGCCATCTCTAGGCAGGTGGTTGTATAAGTGGCCATCTCTAGGCAGGTTGATTGTATAAGTGGCTGAACAAACCATGGGGAGCAAGCCAGTAAGCAACATTCTTTCATGGTCTTTGCTTCAGCTCCTGCCTCTAGGTTCCTGCCTTGAGTTCCCACCTTAGCTTTCTTGAATGATGGTCTGTGATGTGGAAGTGTAAACAAAATAAACCCTTTTCTTTCCAAGTTCCTTTTGGTCAGTGTCCTTTAACACAGCTACAAAGAAGCTAACAAGAACAGTGTGTGTGTGTGTGTGTGTGTGTGTGTGTGTGTGTGTGTGTGTGTGTATGTGTGTGTGTGTATTCCTGTGCTTATGTGTTGGGGAAGGGGAGTAGAAAGAGGGACATGACAGAGAGGATAGATGGGATCCAGACTTTCAAAAATTAAAAATATAAAAACGAATACATAAAATGTCAATTGAATATGTAGAATTTACTACTTAAAGGGAGAATGAACTAAAGGTGGAGATTAGTTTTGTCTTGTATAAACAGGTCTATAATATTTGAAATGATAGAAGCAGCACAGGTATTTCCTGGAGAAAATAATCTTAAAATTAGGCCGACTATGCTGTTGAACATTCAGTGAGCAGAATGAGCGGGAGTCGAAGTTAGTGATGTTGGACACAGACACTGGCTGCTGAAGACCAAACTCCCTGGAATACCAAAGGAGACAAACCTATCACAGTGAAGCTCCTCTGGCCTTCACGCAGAGGAAGCAGCCTCACTATACAGAGCACACATGGTGGCTCTCCACTGCTTTCCCATGGTGAGTACTGGAGTGAGGGCTGTCAGGATTCACCTGCTTCAAAATCGGGAAAGAATGAAGATATGTAACTGCCACTATTTGGGTAATGGCACTGAGATTTTGAGTCTACATAGGGGACCTAGTACATGCCCCTCTAATTTATTTTGGGTACGTGTATGTATGTGTATGTGTTCTACATGTGTGTGCACATGTGGGTGCATATGCATTTGGAGGCCAGAGGTTGACATCAGGTATCCTCCTCCATCCCTCTCCACTTTAATTTTTGAGACAGGGTCTCTCACTAAACCTGTGACTTACTGATTGGGCTAGGCCGGCTGGCCAATGATCTGTCTCCATCTGCCCAATGCTGGTGATATAGGCATGTGCGGCTGCGTCTGGCTTGTTTTTTTTTTTTTTGAGCCATCAATGCTGTCTTTAATTTGGTGGTGGGTGTCATGTTTTGAAGGAGTAATGTGACATACATTACACTGAAAGACAGAACAAGAGCCAGAGGTCAAAGTAACAAGAAGTGATTTGGCTTTTGGAAAACTGCCCAGGCCACTGTTCGGGAAGTGTTTCCGGGAGGAGCTAGCAAGTCATCCCTAGGTGTGTTGCAACAGTATTTCTATACTTGATGAGAACCTAAGACCCTTACCAAACCGCAAATCTCACTTCTAAGTACTCCTGGCCTTTTATGCTGGTGCGGAGGGTCTGAATTTAGGGCCTCATGCTTGCACAGCAAGTGCTCTTACCAACTGAGCCATCTCCCCCAGTACTTTCTTAGAATTTTTTAAAGGCAGGAAAGCTTTGCAGAGACATCCTTGCTTATATGTCACATTTTGCTTCAGCCCCATTCAGTCCTGGGGACTAAAGCCGGAGGTTTCAGCATGCTGGGTAAGTGCTCCACCTCTAAGCTGTGTTCCTAGTCCTTATATTTTGCTTTAACAAGAGATATGGACCTTGAGACACCCATGTCATTCAGATACAAACACAGTGATAACAGAGTCATACTCGTACTTTTGGGGGGGGGTCACTTTATAGAACCCCAAGCTACCATACATACAGCACAGTCTTGAAACCAGCAGATAAAAATCTCCGAGCAGTAAACAATCACACATTAGGGACACAGAACAAAGATTTGGGTATTCAACTAGAGTTTTCAATTTCTGATTGACATAGAATTTTAACAAATTAGGTTATCTGATTAGCCAATAAAACATTAAGGAAGAAAATGTCCAACTTCTTACATATTTGGGTGGCATCATTCACAAAGCAGTTTCAAAACATTTTGAGTCTGTAAGTAAAGAGTGTTATACAAAAAGTCAACAGAAAGGTCTGAGTAGAAGCTTGGCATTTGGGGGCCATTTGGGGGGAAAATAAGTTTCTGGTTCTTTTTTTTTTAAAGTCTTTAAAATTTTTGTTTATTTTATTTTATGTGTATTATGTCTCAATATATGTAAGTGCACCCATATTGTGCGATGCCCATGGAGGTCAGAAGAGGGTGTAGGATCCCCTGGAACTAGAGTTATGGATGGTTGTTAGCTGCCACGTGGGTGCTGGGACTTGAACCTTGGTCTTCTGCAACAGTAGCCAGTGCTCTTAATTGCTGAGTCATCTCTTCAGTCCCAAGTTTCTGGTTCTTAATAGGCCCCCAAGGTGTTGCTGTATCATTAACAGCCCTCATTTTCAAGGCCTAATTCTAATATGCATGTTTTCACTTGTCACTGCACTGTCCCTGCTTTGTGTTACTTCGTTCAATTTACGCAGCACTCCTATGAGGGGATTACTATTGTTGCTTTGCAGATGAAAAAGTTGAGTTTCAAACTCTTACTTGTCCAGAGACAGAAAGCTAGTATAAAGGAAGAGGGACTCAACAGATCAGGCCTACTCCAGCACACACACTTCCAACACTTTTAGAAACATTTCCATAAAGACACAATTCAAGTAAAACAAAACAAAAAAATGTTTGATGAATGTGATGGCTAATCTTGGGTGTCAACTTGACTGGATCTGGGATTAACTAAATGAGAGAGATCTTGATTGGATCATCTGAAGCTGGAAGACACACCCTAAATGTGGGTGTTACCTTCTGATGGCAGCCCCTACAAAAGGCCATGGCAGAGGAGAGCGCTTGCTTTTTGCTGCTTGCCTTCTCTCTCGTTTGTGAATTCCTCTTGCTGCTCTAGACTGAAGACTAGCCAATCTTTGGGAATTCATCAGACCTTCAGTGCCAGATTGGGACTACTGAGACATCCAGCCTTGTGGACTGAGCAACTGCTGGATTCTCAGCCTCTCCAGTGTGGTGCAGCCATTGTTGGACTACT